TTATGGTGAAGCATTTATGTTATGGTGAAGCAAGACAACATTTGTGGTAGTTCGTAGAAACAGTTGTTGTAACATCAGGTATGTCAAATTATTTTATTATTTAAAACCACAAATGAATTTGAATAAAATCAGTTGAGTTTGCTGATATAAAATAGGTGCTATAAAATTCTATTTATTCCTTTCCTTGCGAAATTCTTTCAAGTTTTTGTCTGTTTTTATCACTGTCGCCGTGACGGTCGTATTGCGCCAGGTCAGGTTTTACAGTGGACCAGTTTCCAGTTCCGTACAGAAGTGTATTTTTAAATAATTTTCGAATTGCCCTTTTTGATTTTTTCTTTACAAAATTGTATTTGTAAGAACCCCCTGTACATTCAGAATTTTTTTTTGAATAAGTTCTGAATCACCCTGTATATATCGTTATGATCAGTATCATAACGAGTCTGGATTTCAAAAGAGTTTACTATTCAATTCTCGAAAGGGAGTTTACAATTATCATTATACTTGAATTAATACGTGAATACTTAGAAATGTTGTACGTTCAGAGAATGAATTTCAGGCGCTTACCCCTTATTACTTACGTAGAATGTAATCCAGTGGCTGGCTATACAGGGTGAAACTGAAGTTGAGAGAAACAAAAAGAAACACCACAACTTCTAGGAAAGATTTTAATAGCAATAAACAAAACAAACAAACAAAATAACAACACAACGGCTCAAACAACATTATTAATTAGTTTATTGACACGCGACAGCGTACCGAGATTCAGGGAATGCGAGATTCATAGCAAAATTTGGAAAAAACTTTATCCATTATTAAATTTAATTAATTAGCCCGAGACTCTAAAACTAAGTGGAACCTAAGGAAGAACTGACTTTTTTTCGTAGATCTCTCCTGAATTCGACACTTCGCTTCGACACGCCCATTTCTTGGGTCCAGACGTTTCTGTTCTTATCTTACTGGCTGGAATCCTGGATATCGGGACACTTAATGACATGTTAATAATTATCTAAATAATTTTGTGACTAAACTTACAAATAACCCTAGCCTTCCTCTAGTGACTCCGTTTAGCGGTACGGGACGGATAATTCGATCTCATTTAATATATCCTTTTAGCTTGGAAAATCCGCCAAAAAACCAGCTATTTTACTTATTACTTTCTTTTCCTCACAACATTCTAACAACTTATTCTTGGAATTCCTACGTTATTT